CTCCTCATAGAATTTGTTCCTAGAAGGAGGGATAATGTCACATACATATACATTTCTTCCAATAGTTACTTATATGATTAGGTAGAAATAAATAAATATAAATTAATTTCACAAAGTCTTCTAGAGAAGCTTTTTAGAAGCTTTATAGATAAGATTTTGACTTTAGATATTTTTATATATTAAAAACTTGACTAACAAATTAATTACATGTTGGTAGCTTATGGAATAAGTTAACTCCATGTAATAGCTTGTGAAACAAGCTAACTATGTGGCACATACATAAATAACTTATCTTACAAGTTAAGATATGTGGCTAGCAAAGTCAACACATGTTGGAGGTCTTATAGAATATCACTACATAGCTCCTAATTAGAGAGTATATATGGAGGTAAGAATAAAGCCTTCTTCATTCTTGTCAACACCTTTTTAATCTTTAGTCTTGTTTCAGGACCTTTTAGTCTTCTTGTTTTTCGCAATAGCTATTCTAGTTCAATATTATAACATCTTTGAGTGACATTCTACTTCCTTTTAGTGACACAAGAGTATATTGAGGATTTTTTTCTTCAAGATTCATATTCTTGACATTGGCGCTTTCCATACTATTTATTGTAGCTATAGTATTTTGAATGTAACAAGGAAAAACTATTTTTTTCTCCCTTCTCTTTCTATGAGATATATAATCCTATCAATAAACTCACTTCTTGTTTGTGTGTGTGTTTATATATGTCTACATATTACCTCCAACTACTCTTGTCTCTCTTTCTCTAAAACATTCTCAACACATTATTAGCACGATTGCTCTTATGATCTAGTCTTTGTTCTTAAAAAATTATGTGCACTTTATCCTTCATTTTTTCTTCTTATGTTTCTAGTACTATTGCTATCCAATGTTGCTATTATTTTTGTTCTTGCCCTATATTGTTGTTGTTGTTGTTGTTGTTGTTGTTATCATCTTATATTGTTGTTGTTGTTGTTACTATTGTATTGTCGACTGTTACCAACTATCGCTGATTGACGTTGTCGTGATATAACATGACTAATAGGTAAAAGAGTATGGAAAGTATTATAGTGTAGGAGATCTTAGTTCAAAGTATTAGAGCAAATTATCTTAGAAATATAGTTAATGGTCAAAAGGATAATAAAACTAAAAGGTACTAATACTGCCTTTTTAGAAAGGTGACTTCTACTTACTTTGTAGGACCATAAATAAGGCAAAAAAAAGTAGATTGAAAAAATAAATGATACAAACATCTTTAGAAGGAAGTTAAGAGTAAATTCTAGCAAAATTTACTTAGAAAAATTAGATATTGATACTGGAAGAGGGCCGGTTATGAACTAGGGTCGAAATCAGACCCTAAGGCACAAAACCAAGTCTCAACGACGATTCTAGGATTCTTTTGCAAATCAAAGAGTGGGATTTGATAGCAGACTAGATAAGATTTTTATGAGCATTGGTTTTGAATAATTTAGATTTGTAATGACTTTGTAAGAGCTTTACAAAGTCAAGTTTGTTTTCGGATGACTTGGGTTTTGTGAAATAAAATAGGATTGACATTTTGGGCAATTTCAAGAGTTTTAAAATAAATCTACAAATAAAGTTTTGTAGGTTAATGTTCATACTTGTGCTTAATATGTATTGTGAATCTTACCTTAATCTAATGGTTGAATTGAGGATTATTGAGGTTTAAGTGGGTGAAGGTCTTAAAAAGTAGAATTTTAGATCTAGTGAGGGTTTTTAAGATTTCTTGCAATCATTTAGGGTTAGGATTTGGTTAAGGTTTGATTTAGGATTAGGATTTGATTAGGATTTGGTTTAAGATTTAAGATTTATTTAGGGTTTGATTTAAGATTAGGATTTATTTAAGAGTTGATTTAGAATTTAGGATTTGGTTAGGATTTGATTTAGAATTTAGGATTTTATTTGAGTTTGTTTAGGATTTAAGATATAATTAGTTTTTGGCCTAAAGTTTCAATGAAGTCCAATAGGATTTCAACTTGGATTAAAATAAGATTGAATTGTGATGTATTTGAGATATATTTGTAATCATTTTAATATTTCTTTAAGATTTTTTATTGTTTCTTTGTAATTTCTTTGAGGTTTCTTTGAATTTGATTAAAGCTTGTTTAGCATTGATAGTATTCTATTAGAATTAGGATTTTTTTGTAGCAATTTCCATTCTACCTTCCATAGCCAGGTGCCTAGAGCATTCTTAAGCAAGACTACACGTATTACAACAATGCACCCTGCCGTTGCTTGTTGCCAACTACCACCGACTGTTATGTCCTACTATAGTCCATCACAAATCCTTATTTTTGTGAAAAAAAAATAAATTTTTTGATTTTAAGTTTCAACTTTATCATTGTATTTGGCTTTATATTTTAAGGAATATTTTACTCAATCTTTTTTACTTGAATTTGAATTTTTATTTATGGATTTATTTATAATGAGTGCTCTAACATCCTCAATTGCCTCTACTATGTTTCCAACTATCACTAATGCATCCCAATATTTTCAAGCTCTTCTATTTCTACCATTAATTACTGATATAAATACTTATTTATTATAGGTAAAAATAGCAAAAACAAATTTATTTACAAAACAATAATCAGATGCAATTATGTTTGAAGAATTTTTTATTGTAAGTAGTTCAATTTCTATTGCTATCTATTAGAAAGTACTTCTTCTCCTTTGTCAACATCTTATATTTGTATTACAACATGAATATTTAGAATTAGAAGATCCAACCAAGCTCTAGGAGAATCTTAAATCTAGGTTTGATCATCAAAAGACCATTTTTCTTCTACGTGCAGATCATGATTGGACACATTTACATGTCTTAGATTTCTAAATTTAAATACTTTCAATAATGAAATATATTGTATTATCTCACAACTATAGTTATATAGATAAAACATCTCTTAAGAAGAAATAATTGAGAAAACTCTCTCTACATTTTGTGTTCTTGCACAATAACATAGAAATATGAAATTTCAAAGTCATCCTGATTGCATGTCCTATCTACTTCTTGTGGTGAAATAAAATAAGCTACTCTTGTATAATACAAAAGCTTGTCCTATTGGAACCACAATGTCAAAATCTCATGGACTTAATATCCCAAAGTCTAAGAAATCATTATACAAACTTGAAAAAAATGCTCATAAGCACTAAGTTAGTCACTATTTTCACCTATATAGAAAGAATAAATATTCTACAATTAATTATAGTAGAAAAAAAATCAGAGATGCATTCTTGCTATAAATATGAAATGATTGGATATTTGCTACATGCATGCCATACTTCTAAATACTTTGTTAAAATATTCCAAAAAAATAAGAAATTACAAGTTGAGGCTTGTGAAATTCATACCATTGATGCGTCTATAGATTTAATTGGTCTTGATGATTTAGAGGCTTATATGAATGATAAAACCTCTAATAATGAATTAAATAATGCATTCATTGATTCTACAATAATATATATTATTCTACGGGATAAACAATTTTTTATTAAAAAATCTTCAACTTGACAAACTAAAAATTTGATGACTATGGCTAGAATGAATGCATTTCATTTCCAAGAAGGAATATTGATGGTAAAATTACTTGCAGGCTCTATCATAAAATTTAAACATCTAATGTTTGCAACTTCAGTATCTCAGAGTTTGATGAACTACCAAGATGTGTATGCCAATGGTTATCACCTCTCAATTAAAATTCTAAATAGGCGGAAGGTTTTGGTTCTTAAATAAAATCATAAAATTACAAAGAAAGAATTTGCTATAACAAATTTTTCATGTCGGATTGCAATTCGGCCTTCTAATATATTTAATTTTGCATCATCTATGATAGAAAGTTATGTTTTTCTTTGGCGTAGATGATTGGAACATCTAAAATCTATATTATTTTAGAAGATAACTCCATGTATAACTAGGCATAATTTAAGACCTACAAATGCAAATTCTATGGAATTATGGCATACATGGTTGCAAAGTAAGATGATTGCTCCACCTTCAATTTGAAAACTTCCATAAGAATTACCACTAATGCTTGAAAGGTTGCATGGTGATATTTGTGGTCCTATTAATCTAATATCTAGACCATATTGTTATTTTTTGGTCCTTGTTGATGCATCACATAAACAATCATATGTTTCATTATTATGGATTGATGCTTATCCATTGTCTATACCAATAGTTGGATGTGGTTGTGATGGTCATGCTCCATATCATCTGTAGGAGGAGGAGTATGAAATATTAGAAGACCAATATCCATGGTAAAGCCGTCTCCAATTCTACAAGGAGGAGGAGGAAATATTAGAAGACCAATATCCATGGTGAAGCCGTCTCCAATTCTACAAGGAGGAGGAGGAAATATTAGAAGACCAATATCCATGGTGAAGCCGTCTCCAATTCTACAAGGAGGAGGAGGAAATATTAGAAGACCAATATCCATGGTGAAGCCGTCTCCAATTCTTAGATTTTACCGCACACAGAATGCACACATCAATATGCTGGATGTGGTTGGGAGATAACGATAAAGGTGATATAATTTCAACTCACATGAGTTTTCTAGTAATTCAAGAAACAGGAATCTTCACTTGTCTGAGAAACCAAACATACGACACATAGACTACATTGCCATACTGGAGATTATCCACCCTAATGCAAAAGAAGATGTTTACAGTTAGTGGCTTGAGATAGCTGTGTGCAGATTTTCCAGGTACCAGCACCTCGGGAAGGAGGGCTGGTCCGATACGGTTGCGGTCTTAAAATCAAGAGATCATCGAGAGATTCAGGACAATGGGTGGTTTTTTGGCTTAATTGGTCTAGGATAGTACCTACAGAGCTCCCACACAATCCTCCGTTGTAGGTAAGTGACCATCCTACATCGAATTCGAATTTAACATTTTGGTGCAAGGTCTATACTGCCAGTCACAACAGTGAAGAAACATTAAAATGGACCAACGCATTGAATTAATTGCATATCACAGTGACAAATGATTTCTTGAAAGATTTCAGGCTCTTATTATTTGTCATTGGTTTGTATTATGCTGCATAATACAAAAAGGTGTACATTCTCTGAACTTCCGAGTAACAAATGTCGCCAACACTTGAGACTTACAACACCACTGCAACCTCTCAATTTCCTTCACTCTGGTCAAAATTTATGCCGATGGATGCTTTTCTATGGTTTGCTATTTCAACAGTCCTACTCATTCTATTGAGGCTTATCTCGCTTGACCTTCAAAATTGACCAACGTTAGATGAGTAGCTCCAGTTTGAAAAGGATTCACCAGACCGGCTCAGAACCAACACGCCTCGTCCTAGTTTCGCAATGTTGTTACCTTCGGAAGCTACAGCAGCGGAGGTTGCACAGTGGATCTGTTGCTTCAACACTTTGGACTGTAAGTTTGGCAATGTAAGAACTTAATATATATATATATATATATATATATATATATCTATATATATATATATATATATATACATAGAGAGAGAGAGAGAGAGAGAGAGGGAACAACTGTCTTCGAGATATGCACTGTTGGATTTGCTCTGAACTGACCAAAATAGAATCAGATCAACTACGTTCAAAATTGAGTCTTGATTCTAATAAAAGCTATGGATACACTATGCTCACACGCGAATGTAAAACAGAGGCCCATGGGAGTCAATCCAATTATTGAAGTGCTCCAAGAACGTGCAATCCTTAGGCCGGTCCTTTCTATAGACCTAGGTAGCCATTTCTCTCTTTGAGTATGCCTCGATATGAGGCACACTAGAGAGACCGCGTTGCAGTGATAAGTGGGCAAAGTATGCTTCTGCCAAAATTTTAGAATTCGGTTAGCAATCATGGTCTAGAGATTGTAAGTTCGTCAAGACAAGAGGTCAGCGCTCATAATGCCCCTTCGACACACCTTCTAGCTCATCCAGCAACTCCAGAGCAGTTTGATCAACCTGAAAAGTTACCGACAAGTTCTATGAGACATGGACGGCAGAACCAACCGCATTTGTACGAAATTAGAAATAAAGTGTCTCAAATTTTGGCATTACAAATATGAGATGCAACGATTCTAGAATTTCTTACCGCATACAGCTCACCCTTCACTTGAAGTCCTGACGAAGGGATGTTAAGCAGGAACGGGACTTGAAACGGACCTCAGACAAGTGGATACTGTTGTTTCGTCTTCCCAACGCCGATGAACTGGGCGTGACCCTCCCCAACTGCATCCTCGATTAACCAGTGATTAGAAAATCCCTGCTTCAGGGTACCATAAACAAACCCCAAAGAACAAGGCGGATTGGCGAGGTGCATGGGCATCACAGCGACCTCCAATCTCGACATGGAAAGAGCGGGGACGGCTTCACCAAGAAGGAAGGAGGGGCGATGAAAGCAGGGAACGGAGGGAGCGGGGGTTGAGAACGAGGGAGGTTGGGATGAGAACTGGGAACAAAGGGAGTGGTGTTGTAATTGTAGGAGTGGAGATGAGAACAAAGGGAGTGGGAGATAGAAATGAGGGGGTTGGGACGAAGGTCATAATGGTTAGAATAGGGTGGGTCAATTTAGTAAAATAGTATTGTGTTGTGGTTCGACTACTATGTGAAAATAATCCACATAATATTTAATGTACAATTTATTATATAATGTAGTAAGAGCCACATTATTAAATTTTAGTTGGTCACAAAATATGGTTAAATTACTACTTTGAAGTGGTTGTTTAAAGGGGCTATTTTTGAGGTTAAATTTATATTGATAATACTTTTTATATATTTAGAGCCACCTTTAGAAGACATTGATGACTCTTGAAATCTTATTTTGTTTCTTTTATTTAGTATTTAGGACATATATTATATAAATCTTATAAAGAAAAGGATTGGAAAGAGATTTTGGTAGTAAAAAGAGTAGTCAAGGCATCCATAGAAATGAATGGAAATGGATGATGAAAAGCTCTATTGTTATTAGCAAACAAGCATACCAAATGGGCTTCAAGGAGGCTACTTGAGGCCTTGTTAAGAATTAGGGTTATTCTTTTGAAATGATTTGAACTTTGGAGGTTAAAATCAGCAAGTTTAGAGTTTTGGCTATGGTTTTGGTATAAATTTTGTATAATTTGAAGTTTATATGAAAGAGATATAGGCGCTCAAAACAAAAGTGTTGATTTTGTATCTACTATCACCCTTTCGAATATAATGCATGCATATAAAAAGTAATAAAGAATTGGAAATTGAAATTGAAGAGAGCACATTTTTAGCTATACTTTTTGCATACTATTTGATGAATTTTAAGTTGGAATAAAGAAAATATTAGAAGTTGAAGTTAACACTTCAAATCTAAGGGTAGTAAGTGACTTAATTCACTAGTGGTTGTATTTTGAGCTATATCTTGAGCAATTTGAAAATATTTTGGCTCAAAATTTCTAAAAATATATATAATCATATTTTTAAACTTTATGTATAAATTTTGTGATATTTGAATTTTGGATTTTTAAGATATAAAGAAAATAATACTTGGTTGCTTGTTGATTAGGATTCAAAGCTCTTGCTAAGATTTCTAAGATGCCAAAAGATTGATAGTGAATTTATAACTTATTTTTTTAGAATAAATCTTAAGTATAAGTGCTTTACTATTTAAAAGTTTGAAAGAAAATAAATGGTTGGATCGAGAGATATGAATTTCTAAAATTTGGAAAGAAGAAATCTTTTATGAAAAAAATATGTTTTGAGGGATTTTACTATAATTTGGGTATTTTATATAAAAAGAAGAGGTTTTGGAAGCCAAGACTTTGCATAGAACTTTAAAGGTGGAATAAATCACTTATTAGAGCCTAGCCAATAAGTTAAAACTAAACTCTCTACAGCTAGATATTTAATATATTTTCAAATTATAAATCACGCCATATAACAATAATGGATCATTTTAATATTTTCTTATATTTATATATTAAGAATGATTAAGGTAGATAAGTAGTAGTTCTTAATATTTGTATGGATCAATCTTTATTTTTATCAAAAAAATTTACTTTTTTAGGAGTTTACAAGTTATTTTATAATTTATCAAGTTGTTTCATTAGATTGTTTTATAGTTCATAGGTCATAAGATAAAGTGTGATTCCATCATAGATACTAGTGAAAGCCATTTGTTTTTTTTATAAGCTCCATTCAATTTTAAAGCTAGCTTTGTTTGTATTTTTATAGCTCAACCATTTTGCAGCCTGTTGCAGTTGCATTAATTTTTATGAACTTCTATTGATCTTCATGCTACCAAGCTTTGTATTACAGAGTGAATGTCTTCACTTTTTTTGATTCTTTAAAATTGTCAATTACAAAGAATGCTCAAGAATGCTTAACGGAGACAAGTTGTGGTTTATATTTTTACAACTTTAGTAACAAAAACATCATCAAATCTTCAAGGTCGATGCACAAGATTTTTAGATATAATCATAGTTAGAAGTATTTTTTTTCTTCTTAAATGATTCAATAAATAATTTTATTTGAAGTGATATATATTGGCAAGCAATATTAGATATATTTGAGCAAAAATTGTACATGTCAAGTTTTTTTACAACATGTTGAGTCTTTTATGCTTATTATTTATTTTGAACTGTTGATTTATATCTATTAATTTAATCAATTAGATAAAAAATTTAACAAAGTCAAAAAAAATTTATATTATAAAAAAATATATACCTTTAATTCTACTAAGAAAAAAATAGAAGTCTGCTTTAGTGTAAATTAAAATTATAATTTAGTCCCAATTTTCTTTAATTGTAGAAAAAACAAAGCCATTTATAGAAAATAATTTTTTACAAATTATGTTCATTTTAGATGTTGTGTAATCCATATTGATCTATTTGTAAAAAAAAACATTATTTGAATTGAAAACTACTTCAATGGTATCTTTTTAGTGTAGATACAAGAAAAAAAAATATATATGTGCATTGAAAAGATGCATTTGAAATCATATTACTACTTCTTAATGAAAGAAAAGAGAAGCTTAATTGAGAGGAAGTGAAATTCAATACCAAAGTAATTCTTGACTTTTTGCATTATTTGCAAGTTTGAAAACTAAAAGTATTGAAGAAGATGAGTTGTTTTGACTTATTTGTTTCTTTTGAATTATATTTCAATCATTTTAGTTCTTTAAGTTGAACTATATGTGTTAGCTGAATTATATGTATTAACTAAATCATGTATAATAGAAGGTAGGTAAAAGAACTACTGCCAATTTTGCGGATGTGATTGTTTTTAAAGTAGAGCCTACTAATGAAGGAAAAGGTAGAAGAGTTGATAAGGAGTCAAGGATATTTAAGCATATTATTTACAATGCTGATGGAAAGAAAGTAGAATGTGGTATAGTTATCAATGGAGTCATTGCGATATCAAAAAGATAAGTCTTTTCAAGAAAACATAGGATACTTAATTACAAGTAGATTACAAGAAGGCACAATATTGTTTCAAATAAAATCAAATATAAAAGAAAGTTCAAAGGCTTTGTATAATTTATAGATTAATTTCTTTCTTGTACTTGAATGATTTCAACTCCTAATTTTAATTTCAAATCTAAACTCTCTTTGATTAAAATATCTATAATTTATTTATTACTAATTTAATATAGACAAAATTTTAGCTCATTGAGAATATAAAAAGAAGAAGATACAATAAATGGCATAGGAAATTCTAAACCAATCTTGAAATTTTTTGCTTAAAATTCTAGCAACTTCATTTCATAAACTTATTTAAATCTCCTTCATCATAGTTCTATTTTTTGTATGCTATAGCTTATTGGAAAGCTCACAATTAAATCTATCTTCTTTCTAAATATTAATATAAAAAATAAAAATAAAAGAAGTAGTATAGAAAAATCCAAATCAGTGTTGAATCTCCCCTCCCAAAAATTCCAACACCTCTTTCTTACAAATTTGCTTGGATCTCCTTCCTCACAACTTCATTTCTTGCATGCTATAACTTGTTGCAAAGCTTAAAATTAGATCTAGTTTTTTTTCAAGTATGAATAAAAAAGATAAAAATGTAAAAAATGGCATAGAAAAATCCAAACTTGTGTTGAATCTCTCTTCTTCTCCTCTCTCTTAAAAAAATAAAAAATAAAAAAAATCTTATTTGATTCCAAAACCTTTGCCTCAACCTTCTTTCAATATCTACCTTGAATTACTATAGAGTCAGATATCTATCCTAAAAGATAATACCTTCAAGCTCAAATAATCTATTCAAGTTTACAACCTTTTATTCTAAATTCTATTCAAACATATAAATATATTAGCATTATATTCCTTTCTTCCTATAAGTAAAATTAATTATCTTTCAAATAACTTTGATATAATTAAATTAATTATATTATGATATTTATCTCCTTCAAACCTATAAATACTTTGATATGTGCCAAAGAATTAGACCACTATACAACCAACACTAAAATCAGAGTCATTGTGATTTGTATCACTTTTGAACTATTGATCAAAATATTGAGGCTCAAAAGCCTCTAAATCTTCAATACAATTCATCTTATTTTGCCACTTAAAGACCTTAATTTACTTTCTTGTAATTTTAGTCTTAAATAATATCCCATCTAACTCTCTAAGAGAATAAGTTGTATTATTATGCATTTCAACTACCACGTAGGGTCTAAATTAACACCATATAAACTTATAAAGAGTAGAATGTTGGTACATCAAACTACTATCATAAATCAAAATCCAATCACTTACTTTAATTTTCTTAGGTCTTAATTGATGAGTTTTATTAAACCTCTCTTTGTTGTTCAATCTTGTTGATTTAAGCTTCTCTATAGGAACTTGATGATTTTTGGACAAACTTTCTAGTTGGTGAATTCAAAGTTCCAATAATCTCTCCTTGTCAATGCTATCTTTTCAAGACAAAAACAACCAAGAAAGAATAGATTCCTCTGTAGGCATTAAGGACTTTTGTCCCAATATCAATTTGATTGGTATATTGATAGCAACTATGCTATGAGTAGTCCTATATGCCAATAAAGCAAATAGCAAAAGCCTTAGTCACAACCTTACTTGATCCCTATATACCTTGACCAAAGATTGATTGATTGATTGATTGATTGATTGATTGATTGATTTTGGTGTAGATAGTCCAAACTCCTCTATACTTAGTCTACAATGTATTATAAAATTCATCTAATACCTTGTATTTGGTTTTCAAATCATCTACTAATATCAATAGCATATCATTTCTCTTCTTTGCTTTTTTTAGAAGAATCCATCATATAAAAGATAGTTGTAGGATTGGTGCCTAATATCTTTAAAGGTCTTATTCAACCAATCCTTTTGCCTTTTCATTATACTAAAATATAAGCAAATGTCTCTCAACATCCCTTTGT